GCGCAAAATCGCGCAATGTGATCTCGCGTGAGGTTGTGAATAAATGCTAGTTTGACCTCGCGCGAGGTACATCTCTAGGTTCTACATATATACAATATTTATGCTTTGCTAAGCCAATCATTTAGTGCCTAATTTTTTAATTTACCGATCTCATGTTTGTGAAACATGGTTTTGCTAAATTTGCTTTTACCACTCAGATTGGATAGATTGGATGTAAACTGGTTATGTATTTATGTGGCTAAGCCTGCGAAAATACCCAGTTTATCATCACATGACTAAAATCATGTGAATTTCAATGAACTTATACAGTTGCCCTTTCTGATTGAATGAAATCGATGAAATAATACTATAACTTAGGTATGTCTTTGAGCGACGATATCTTAGTAACTACCTATCTAAAATCGATGAAATTTTATTTATTTAAACTATATGAATTAATAGAATTATATCAAAAAAATTTAATCGATTTTAGACAGATATTTATCGAGTTATCCTTGTTCAAAGTTTGGAAAACTTAACTAAGGTCTTTGTTTTGATAGTTATCTAAATTTTTTTTGAACAAGGATAGCCCAATAGCTATATATCAAAAATCGATAAAACTTCTTTATTTTTTTCTATTGATTCATAAACTTAATATAAAAAAATTTCATCGATTTTAGATGGATATTTATCAAGTTATCCTTGTTCAAAGTTTGTAAAAACTTAACTGCAGTCTTATTTTAATAGTTATCCAAATTTTCTTTAGCTTTGAATAAGGATAACTCGATAACTAGATATCAAAAATCGGTCATTTTTTTTATTTTATTTTAATGCTATGGATTCTTATAATTGAAATAAAAAAAATGTTATCAGTTTTAACAGGTAAATATCGAATTATTCTCGTTCAAAGTCAAATAAAAATTTGGATGATTATCAAAACAAGGACTGCTACTAAGTTTTTACAAACTTTGAACAAGGATAACTCCAAAAGTATCTAACTAAAAGCAATGAATTTTTTTATTTTAATTTTATGAATCCTTAAAATTAAAATAAAAAAATTTTATCAATTTTTAATATATAGTTATTGAGTTATCATCGTTCAAAGTTCAAATAAAGTTTAACCGACTATCAGATAGCTTTTACAACCTTTAAACAAGGATAACTCGATAAATATCTGTCTAAAATCAGTGAACTTTTTTTATTTTAATACTATGGCTTTCTTTATATAATTTAAATAAAAAATCTCATTGATTTTAGATAGGTAGTTACTCCTCAAAAACATACTTAAGTTATAGTATTATTATGATCGTCGATTTCATTTAATATTAATTAGAAAGGGTCAGTTCATTGAACTTCATATGATCTTCATCACGTGATCATAAACCGGGCACAGATTCTATTTTCGCATTTTATAAATATTATTTAAATTATGTCAAATCAAGCTTTTGAAATTTTTATGAAATTTTGCAGAACCTATGCGTCGAACGCTACCTTACATTAAAGTTTCACTACATATTGTATGATATTTAATTTTATTGTATTAAGGACTGTCTCTTTCAAAGCATTACACTTTCCATTAACCTACTATAAACTACTTCTTTCTTACCTATTGTAACGATTAATTTTTCCTGTGTCTCATCACTCCCGTATTTGTTTAATTCTTTAAGACGTCATTCACCTTCCATAATTGTACCATCATCGTCATGTTAATCTTACCCTAGTAGTATTAAGCATTATTATGTATTCTTGGTAGCTTATTTCATGCCAGAGCGTTTACGCTCATACGCGCTTGCATAAACTTGTGATCATTACGCCTTGGGCAAATATGGAATCTAAAGCGTAAGCGTTGAGATCCTGATGTTGACCATCTGTAAAATTAGAATGTATATAAGAGTGTATCTTCATCCTTAGTTGAGGATAACATTCGCTCTCCTAAAATTCCTTAATAAATAAAGCTCATATACATTCACACTCTTTTTTATTATAAATGCCTAATAAATCATGAATATCCGAATACCATAGTTTATTGCCCAATTCATGTGACCCTTCAACGTCAACCATCGAGTTAAACTCGGCATGACAATACCAAGCTCTCCCTTACGATGGTTACACTACCCATCTCGATCTCGATCTTAAACTCAAAAAGGAAACATCATTGTTCGGCAAAATGTCCTAACTACATACGGAGCAGATTACACAGATAAGAAAAATAAAGAAATAATAAAAAAATTTTACAACAGTATGCAAGTTTGCTCTCCCAACCTAGATGGTAACAACGCATACAGTCAACTCTGGATATAACGAACCTTTTTATAACGAACTCTGGATATAATGAACCCAAATTTTCTAAATTTTAATATTAGTTCGGTATAACAAGAGCTACGGCTATTAAGAAAACGTAGTAATTCTATATAATGAACTTTTTTTTTGGCCAGAACCGAGGGTTCGTTATAGAAAGAGTAGACTGTATACAAATTTTATTTTATGTATAATGCTATTTTGACTACGTAGGTTTTCAAAAATATTTGTATTGACTACTGCATTTTCTCGTGCTTAAAAGAATTACTCCTTCTACAAAGGCAAACAATTAATTCTTCAATAATAAAGTTATTTTCATTTATAGCAATTCTTTTATTCAATAAAAAAAATCCATGATATGTTGTATTATCATAGATTTGTTGTATGACGTATAAATATTCGTTCACGATTTTATACTTTTGCATCTTTCAATGACTTACTATGAGACAAATGTTTAATTATTTAATACAAAGGTATACCATTTATATATAAAAAAAAAAAAAGATAATACGAACTTTGTCCCAAATTATTCAAAGCAAATAAAACAACTTTGCCATTTTGAGTAACTTTGTAAATAATTCTGATTTAAAACCTGGACTATATTTATTTAATGACTTCATAAAATAATATTTACCTTTTCAGATTAGTGAAAACCTCACAAATTAGGGATCGATTTTTAAAAAATATAATTATTAAAAGAATGATTTTAAGAAATTTAAATTTTTTTATATTTTCTCTTATTGATTATTAAAAAGATATCGAATATTTATTTATTCTCGGAAAATTGAAAAATAAGAATAAATTATAAATATCTACCATTAATGTTGATAGTGTTTATATCATCGCAAAGTAGGGGCATTTAAATTACATAAACCTAAGAATTTACTCACCAGAATAATACCTATCAGATTCATCGGTGTCATTTAGATTATCTATAATAGACCATCCAATTACCGGAGTAACAACCGATTCACCATCAGAATCTTTAAGAATTTCTTGATTCGCACCAATAAATCCAGCCATGAATTTCAAATTTAATCCATATAAATTAAAGGGAACATCAACAATGACATCTAATTCTTATTACACCATCAGTTTTTTAAAGGTATTCCTGCTCGATTATAAGGAAAGAAGTTCATTAACCATCCAGAAACAAAAGTACCACCACCAGAACCATGTACTGTACTTCATCAGTCTTTACAATCCTACCCAACTAAATCCAAATAACAGGTTCAAGACGATCTAACCAAAAATCTAATTCTGAATTTAATTTTCTTAAATGAGTAATCTTTTCTTGAAGTTTCATCCAATCTTCAAGGGTTCCTTCGAAAGTAACTTTTGGAATTCCACAAATCAAATAGTAGAAACTAAATACCTAAAATAAACCCTAACGATATCTATCTAATAATACAATATGACTTGCTGTTAAGGCAGTTGGGGTAGTCGTCGAAAAATTAAATTCTAACAAACCCTTTAAATAGATTTTTCGACATGCTATCAGTTACAGTAACAAGTCTATTTACAACTTCAGGCCAATCAACTCCGTAATTATTATGTTGAACGAATCTATCACGAAATTTCTCAGGATTATAATTAATATAATAACTAACACCTTGAGAAATTGCAAGCCAAACATCATCAGGATTTAAATGCTTATGATAATTATAAGCATAAAGAATAGCGGCGGCAAATCCATTTGAACAAGCGTTTTCAATAAAGTTTTTTAGAATCTTTGTATTTAGAGGATAAAGCATATACTTTATGATTCTTAAAACGACTAGCAATTTGATCTTCAATCGAAATGTGAGGTTATAATTTATTGTCAAGAATTTTTTTTGGTTAGAATTTGAGTGCTTCGAGAATTATTTGTTGGATACATCTTTGTAAATAATCTGAATGGATGTTGGTTGACCTAATTTTTTTAAAGCTTAAAATGGTGTCGCAAAGTGAAAACCTGTCATAGGACTTTCAATTGTATTTTGTGTACAGTTAGCCAGGGATGGTAAAATTGGAGGTCATTTGCCTTTTTTTCAAATGACCTAGATCATTTCGGACTAAAATTCATAATAAAATTGGATCATTTGAGGTCATTTGAAGGTCATTTGAAGGTCATTTACCTTCCCTGCAGTTAGCTGTCTATGGAAAATCTATAATAATAATAGAAATTTCATAGATGGCTAACTGTACACAAAATATAATTGAAAGTTCAATGACTTTGGTGGCGGCACTCATATGCAAATACTTGTTACACTAAAACCTGAATCTTATGCATCACGGAATTCAATTTCCATTGACGCAATACTATTTACGTACGTACGTACGTACGTACGTACTGTACGTAGAATTAAAAGCACAGTATCATGTGAAGATGTAAAAAAAATAAACATACAGATACGTACCATTTTTTAAGATACATCACGGGAAATTCTATTCATTCTGATTGGTCAAAATCAGCAATCCAAATATAATTTTTTCGAACTCAATTACTATCTAAAATTGATAAAAATTATTCATTTCATTCTATATATATAACTGTATAACTAAAATAAATTTTTATTAACTCTGAATAAATGTATTCAAAATGTTATCGCTCAATGTTTTTTTTTAAAAAAAGCTGACAACTATCAAAATAAGTTGCGTAAAATTTTTTCCAAACTTTAAGCGACAACCACATATCTTTTTGGATATTGCGGCCATCAAGATATTTTCACTTAAAGCTGGAAATAAATTTAGACGACTGTAAAATCATCAAAACAAGTCGAAAAGTATTTTCCAATTTAAGCGAAGATATCTCAACAATCACCTATCTAAAATAGATACGCTTTTTATTTCAATTCTATAAACTATTTGATTAAATAAAAAAATATATCAATTTTGATATATGGTTGTCAGGACATCTTTACCCAAGTTAAAAATAAACTACCAAAAGTCACGTCAAAATTTTTTTAAACTTCAAGAGAAATTATCAACAGCCACCTGTCTAAAATCGATAAATTTTTTTTATTTCAGTATATAAAGCCGTGATTAAAATAAAAAAAATTTATCAAATTTTGGATATTGGTTGTCAGGTATTTTTAGAAAAAAAACTCGAAATTACAATTAAAACAGGCCGTAGCAAAATTTTCCAAAATTTTGAACGAAGTATCTCAACGGACACCTATCAAAAATCACTAAAATTTTTTTCTTTTTACACGAGGCACTGCCGGCAAGCCACCAGTATGATCTATAAATACATCTGTCACAGATGTCACTCTCTCCCCACAAGCGAAACAACCCATCGTAAAAGTTTTCTCCTCCACCAAATTTTCGAGGAAAAAAAATTTTCTAAATTTGGTACACAATGCGTCAATCATTTGACAGTAGGATCAACCAATTAAATGAACATAAATCGCCGTTTACATATTAATGTATTATATTATAGTGAACGCTTGTAATAATAAACTTACTGTATTATTTTGGATTCTAAATATAGCAAATAAACTTTCAACTCGATTCACTGTGTAAATCAAATATGTATAGTCACATAGGAAAATCGAATACCGTATCCTACCGTAAATAAGCACCACACCCTCTACCCCACTTTTTAAATGTCAGATTAGCGGAAATCGCAATGAAGTCTTTAGCCATATTATTCCCGCTAATCTGATATTTAAAAAAATGGGGTAGAGGGTGTGGTGCTTATTCACGGTAGAATACGGTATATAAATTTTTGTGTAACAATCGCGAAAATCTATATTAAAATACTAAATTTTTTAACAAATTTATTAAAAAGTTTTAAATTAATAAAAAAATCGCTTCATTAGTTTAAAATACGAGTGTCGACAAAAGAAAACCCGACAATTTAAATATAGACTATATTTAAATTGTCGGGTTTTCTTTTGGCGACACTCATACATGTGTTATTGAGTAACTAAGTAAAATTTTAACCAAGCTAATATATGAGTTATGAAGGAAGAGATACAATTTGAAGTTATATAGAAGTCTCTATGACTTCAAATTGTATTTCTTCCGTAACTTACATATTAACTTGGTTAAAAATTTTAATCAGTTACTCAATGACATCTGTATTTTAAACTAATGAAGCAATTTTTTTATTAATCTAAAACTTTGTTAAAAAATTTAGTATTTTACTAAAGATTTTCACAAAAATTTATATATTCGATTAATTAAGTATACAATTTTTTTTATTAATTTACATTTTCTTATAGATTTGAAATACTTGATTTACATAGTGCATTGAACACTCAATCGATCCTTCACTATAACAAGAGTGGCTTATATATGTCATGAGCAGTTAATATTTTGATCAGGTAAATTTTCATAGATTTGGCTAACATATATTTTTTACGTTTTAATTGGTCTAAGTTCTGAGTAAGTTGGCTTTTATATTAATGGGTTTTTTTTAAAATTAATGTTTAAATTTTTTAAAAATAAAAGGTAAACTTCAAGCCTGCTTATATTCGGTAATTCAAATTTGGATTAGTTCGTCAAGCCCGATTCTTAGTAAATTGAGTATAATCGTCGCTTATAATACTTGCTGTCTTTGCCAATGAATTTGCGACGATATAATATCCCCGATATTTACTGTTGTCCTTATTTTCTATTTTTTTTAGGGAGCTACTATTTCCACATGGTTACGCGAAAATTTCTATTTTTAGACAATAATATAAAAACTCATAACCCTAACCTAAAACTAACAAATAAATCTCTAAGCAAACTTGTATAGGAGTTCTAATGGTGGTTAGATCATCAAAATCTGGTGGATCCCAAGATATTTGGGGTTAAAGGCGCGACTACAAATTCACTGTTTTACGACTGATACCTTGTGTAACAGTGAATTTGTAGATTTTTATGTTCGTGACTTTAACCCAAATTTTCTTGGAATCCACTGGGCTGATTTTGATGATCTAACCACTGTTAAAACCAGAAAAATCTCCTCTACAAGTTTACTTAGAGCTAGAAGAAAAATTTACTTGAAAAACTATATAAATAGAAATTTTGTGTAACCATGTTAGAAATAGCAAAATACCATGGTGGAAATAGGCCATCCCTTTTTTTATTCATGACAACTTATAATCATTCATAAATAAAGATATGCTAAATAATGTTCATAGACATTATTCAAGACACATAATTTGAAGTTGTTATTAATTAATTTAGAAAAAAAAATTTTAACAATAAAATTATAGTTATATTTGGCTAAATTAATTATTAGCACTCTTTAAATTACATGTATTAAAACAATACTCATTGGTGTCATTTAATGCAAATGCAGCCTTTACTAAATAAATAAAAGTTAGTCTCTATACAAATTATTCACTGTTTACTGATTTTTTCTTAAATTTTATGTTATGTGTTGATCTTAAAATTAAAGAGGCAGTAATAATGATAGTTATTGCATGGGTAATGTAGTGAATAACCCAGTTACACACATAGATTTATATTTAAATCTTGTGCCTTTGGTGTGGAATATGAACCCATGTGTAACTGGGTTATTCACTACATACCTATGCAATAACTATAAATTATTTCACAGCTTTATATTTTGGTAGTAGTGTATTTTAGACTTTATAAAGAATAGTGTTAATGCATATTAATACATGTTTATCCTATTTATGGCTCAGTATGATGTTTATTGGCATATTTATGCAATGCATATCACTATTTTATATGTCAATTATTTTCTAAAATTAAAATTTTAGAAATTTTAGAAATTTAGTAATATTAAAAAATTTTTTAAAAATGCAAGCTTTAATAAAAAAATCTCATAAGGCTTCAACAAAAAAATATCATATGTTAATAAATAATTTATTTAAATTTTTTTTATATGAAGTTTTATTAAGAAATTTAACTAATTTCTATAATTTCAAATCTGCAATTACTTTTTTTGTAGGCACACTACAAATAATCTTTAGTAAATGCTAAAAACTGATTTATTCATTATTTCAAAGATAAACCTGCTAAAGAATGGTTACCTAAGAGTTATAATGCTTGGATACTCAGATGTACCACAATGCAAAAGAGGTATAGCACATTTTACATTGCTGTAAGTGCTATAGGTCATAACCAACACACTTTTGTGAAACTTAAAAGTGTCACCCAGGAACTTTTGAGCAATAAGGCAAAATATTTATTAAATTTTTTTACAAATGGAATCAAGTTTAGTTAGAAATTTTTTATTTAGCAACAATTTACTTATTAATAAGGAATATTAGCAAAAATCTAAAAAATTTTTGATATACTAGTGGAGTAATTTTTTTGTCTCATAACTGCATAGATCTTTAGTAATTTATATATCAGATTTTTGTAAAACTTTAAGGTGATAGAGATTATTGAGGAAAATTTTGTAAATCTGTACAGAATTTTACTATTTTAATATTTTGCAAATCTGATTTAAAAAATTCTATAATAACTTGCATTTTTAAAACTATCTCAGATCTGAATACAAGTCAGTTTATTAATATTAAAAAAAAATTTTGCTATTTATAATTTTAATATAAATTTTTCTTTAATAAAGATTGGTAAGACTTCAGCATCTGCTAGAGTTTAACAAAAAAAAGATGATAATGAAGCAAAAAGAATAAAGAAGATGACAAAGCCAAAGTGAATGAAAACAATAACAAAGCCAAAGAGTATGAAGATGATGAAGATGATAAAAAAGAGGATAAAGAATCTAGAGATAAGAATAAAAATAAAAAAACCAATGAAGCTGTTGTCTATAAAAAAAGAAAGGTGTCTGGTTCTGAATATAAGTAAAGACACTAAGCATATACAATTTTTATAATTTGTATTTTTTTTTTTTTTTAATGCTTACACTTTTATAGTTGTGAGCTAGGAAGAAGCATTGACATGCCTATTATCTTTAATCAGATATTCTCCAGATGCTTTAGTGTTAAAGTCAACTACTTCTGCAAATAGGAAAGCTCCAAAAGAAGTGTTGACTTGAGAAAGATTTTTGAGAAGATTAATAAATATGCTTTCGACCATACAAAACAGTTTCAAGTTCTTAAATTTTTATATTAGCATCAGTTTTATAAGGAGAGATTGGTGTACACTGCAATTGATATTAATATTAATTTGGTGCTAAATACTGTTATAGGCAATGATTATGAATTTTCAAACTGCTCACCCTACTCTGGAGATCCCAAATATATCTGGTACTAAGAAGAAATTGATTTTAGTAGCTAAAATCAAAAGAATTCATATTCTTAAAGATCTAGGTGAATAGATTTTTTTCAAAATTTTACAAGAAAGTAAAAAAACAAAAACTATAATAAGGCAAGTTTATAGTTATATGCTCAAAAATGCTCTTATATACTCTATACTTGTGATCTATGATTATTTCTAGTTTATATGCAGATCAAATGAAGATCCAAAAGTGATCAATATTACAGATAAATTATCAATACTGTTAGGATCCCCAACAATATTGAAGGTTTGTGCATATTTGGCCATAAAAGCCAAGTCAAAATTGGAATCTGTGAAGACAAGTAAATTGAAAATTTTATTGCTAATTTATTGAACTTTCAATTATTGATTATTTATTCTACTTCAAACTCATCCTTCAGGCTGAAAAAAAAAATGCTTTGATAACTGCAGAGAATATGGCAAAGAATTGCATTTGATTCTCTGATCAATTGCTAGAATATAACTTGTAACCTTGTTATACAGACTGTAACAAATATATACTAAACAATGTTTTTAGATCTTAAATAATAAGTATATATAATTATATAGATTAAATTAGATAGTGCTATACAGAATATTACTGAAAACACCAATGCTATATTTAGAACTTTAGATATACATAACACATTTTTATATAATTATAAGTAGTTTTTAAATTTACAGATACTTATGCTTTAATTTTTATAATTACATATATAGTTTTGTAGATTAAATGAAGTTGTGAAGTATTAAATCATAGCATTACTAATTATCTATAGTTCTGATAAATTAAGATCTTACAAGCATATAATTCAAATGATAAACATTTAAGTTATTAATATGAAAGCAATTAGAAATTTGTTTTTTTTTATCAGGCTTTTAGTTTTTGTATTCATGCTTAAAATTTCATATATTACAAACAAAGGAAGGTACCTACAAGTTGCTGAATTAGATATATATTTTATCTTGTTTGGAATTAATCGTACTACTGAAAATGCATATTTAGTTTGTAAAAATATTGAAATATGTTATTAATGCATCTTTGTTAAGGTCATAACAGATAGAGTTCTGTTAAAAAATATAGATGTATAATTATTTGATTAATTAGTGTTATAGAAAATTTAATATTTACTTTTGAATTAATAAAAATTCTAATACTATAATTGTACTTTAGATATTTTTTTTCTGAACAAAATTATTTCATATTGGCAAAGTGTTACAGACTTTGAATTTATTATATATTTAACTAGTTGAATACTAAGTACAAGTATATAGATTGGTTGATAAATATAAGTTAATAAAGTTAAGATTTAGAATTTAAATTTTTAAAAATATTATTACAGTTTGTAGGTTAATCAGAAGTAAAAAGGCTGAAGTCCCAACATCAAAAATAATAATAGCCAATAATCTCAAAATTATTTAGATATAAAAGTTAAGGTCTTGATTATTCAAAATACTGATGGTTCAAGTTCTTGAAAATAAAGGACTCCTTACTATAAAGATGATAGCAGATGTTGTACCCAGAATTTATATTCAAATAATATATGTTATCATTAAGAGGTATCATAGTAGTAGAATCAGATACTAATTCATTGTTATTAATATGGAAATAGTTATTGATTTTGTAGATTTAACAAAGAAGAGCATTCTCTTGCAGTATATTCTATAATCAACTAATTAATACTTTTTATTAATGTTTCTACTTATATTGTAAAAATTCATTAAAATAATTTTTCTTATTAGCCAGAATATAAATTACAGATTTAAAAAAGGCAGTAATTTTTTTTTTAAATATCGAAATGTAATTTACTATTTATTTAAGACTTTGGCAGAGTATCTAAGAACATGAAACTAAAAATTTTGAGAAAGCTTTACAAATTTTTAAAAAAGATTAATATTGCTTTTTTATTCTTATGATACACAATTTTGGCAAATATAGCTAAAAACATAGAGCCATAATTATAATAAAAAGATTTGTATTAATTGATGTTTTAATCTTGCAATAATTATTTAAATTAAAAAAGCTTCTGGATCTGACAATTTTTTTATAGTTTTTCTAAGTGTTTAAAATTATATCCCAGCAAATTTTTAACTATAATAACTGCTTCAATTATTTCAGTTTAATTGTAATTATTGAGCAACATCACAAATTATTAAAGAAGCTGCATAAAAATAGTCTACAATTGTTCATTTATCAATTAACATCTCACTCAATAGATCATAGTCAAATTATTTTAATTAATTAGAAATCAAATAAATTAACCTGATTTTAGTTTTAACTACTAAAATATAAGATAGTTAATCTGTTTGCAAAGTTTTAATTTTTCGGTTCATATCTCATACAATAAATTTCAAGCAAATTATTTTCAATTTAGCTCAAAAAACTACCAAACTCACATCTTAATTAGTGAGAATAAATAGTAATAATAAATAGTAATAATTTATCAACATACTCTATTTATGTTTATCAATACTAATATAAAAAATTTAGCTATATAAAGTATTCTATTAAGAATCCTGCTATTGCAAAAATTTTGCTATATTACTAAATAGGATATTTTTATTGTAAATTTGTAGAATCTGAAACTTAATTTATTGTTAACTTTAAATAATACTTAGAGCAAAATTTAAGCACTAACTTCAAAAAATTCATTCTGTTTACATGTTTTGCTTAAACATACACAAGTATCTCCTAATATTATTAAATAAAAAGGTAAATATTTAGAAGATTTTTTAATCAGTTTTTTGTACTAAAGATAGGCAACATGCACATATGCATACATGTTTGGCCAAAATATTAATTTCTTAATACTAGCTAGCAAGAATTAATTGTTAAACCAATAAAGATAAATATTAGAAATATATATTGTTTGGCCATGCATCTTTCAATGCATCATTTCTAAACCACACAAATGTGAAGGTAAATGCATGCAGTTCGTATTAAAAGAATGCCTAACATCTTTTAAAAAGAAAGAGACACTAGTCTCTAAACCATGTATAGTGTTCTTAGTTCATTGGTGCATTATTTTTTTAAAAAAATAATGTTTAAAAAATAAAAAAAAATGGACCTTCTATACTATATTGATTCTAAAAATGAAAGTGAGGACATTGCTAGAACCTTCTATAGCTCTTAAATATCTTTCAACTTATTATTCAAGTTTCTTAAACATTTGCTCCAGCCTGGTTTAAACTAGTAAAACACTAGGTATGCTTGAATATTGCTTTACACTAAAAGGTTAGATAAGTTTGAAAATATGCAATCATTAAAAGGCAAAGTTTATCAAAACAAAAAAACAACATATATTTATAAATATGAGTAATCATCAATTTGGACTGCTAGTAATACAATTTAAACCAATTTAAACCAATCTTATTGGTTAGTTAATGCTATTATAATTTGTATTGCCTAACGATCATTTGGAAAAAATAATTTCAGTATTATTATGATAATATTAAAGATAATGCAAAAATAATACTGTATAGTATTACTTTATTTCATCTAGTGCATAAAATCTATTATAAAATTTTTGTGCCTTTGGAGGTGATCTCTATATTGATATTACTTTAATATTAAAATGCTAAATATATCTTTAATAAATAATCATAATTGGTTATTTATTTATCATGCCAATTTTCTCCAAATAAATTGTAACTTCATAAATAAATATTTTCTCTTGAATTACTATTTTTTATAAATATTTAATTGATAACTAGATGCTTAAATTGCTTAAAGGAAGTTAAATTCTGAAATTTTTCTTAATTTCATATTATAATTTATAACAAAACAGGTAAAGATTTGTATTATTGACAATGAAAAATTAGTTGGAGTTTATTTTGTAGCCTATGATTTTTTTAACTAAAAAAATATTTTTATTTTTAATATTAACTATATATTAGCAATAAATAATAGAGTTATTGAATATAAAGTATAACAATCTGTGCTTTTTTTTTGAAAGCATATTTGCATGGGTATATATGAAAACATATACCTATGCAAATAAGTTATTTTTTATAAAAGGCAAAACTAAATAAGAAGGCTAATATTTAAATAAATTTAAAATTTTTATACAGTGGCTACTACCTAAAGCCAACATATTTTATATATAGGTGCCAATTTTTTAGCTGCAGTATAATATAATTCTCAAATAAAAATACAGAAAAACTTAATGCAATTTTAATTTTTACTAATAAAATTTAAAATTTTGTTATGTTTATATATATATATAAACACTGAATTTTTGAATTATATATAAATTTAAATTAACATAACTTTCTAAAAATAAAAGATATTTGAAAATTTTTTTGATAGTTTAATAGTTTAAACAAAAAGCTATTAAATTATCAAAAAAAATTTAAATACTTTCTGTTTTTAAAAAGTTATATCAATTTAAAAATTTTTATAATTAAAAGTTAATGGCTTTAGGTAGTAGCCACTATAGTAGTTTTTAAAATTCTTGTACAGTTAACTATCTATATAACAGATTTTCCGGTCTTATAATTAATTTTTTTGTAAAATCCTTTATATAGCTTTTTACTAATATTTATATAATAGATTTATAATAAATTTTAAAATTAAGTCTGTTATATAGGTGATTTTTATTATAAGTGTCCATTATATAGATAGTTGACTATAGTGGGTGAAGACTCTGTTTGGTCTGTTGGTAATTTTTGTCATGTTATTTTTAAAATCTTCATACTATATTTCAGTCAAAATTTTTTAAAATCTCATTGCTGATGAAAAGCTTTATTTGGTCAGGTTATTTTAAAGTTTTTTATAGTTGGAGAGGCTAAATTGGTCAACCAATTTTTAAAGTTCTCATAACTGGGTAAAGACTATATTCAGTCAGATTATTATAAAAATTTCATAACTGTTAAAGACTGTATTTGATATTTTCATAACTGAAAGCTTTTTAAAGTTTTTGAGCAAGATTTTTTTGCTGTAATAGGTTGTTACCTCGGTCAGATAGTATTTATTAGATAACTATTAGAAAAATTATAATATAATACAATTAAACTTCCCAAAACCAATTCATCAAAAACTGATTAAAAATCAATCTATCAAGTCTGTTTCTACTATATAGTCTAATAGTTTATAATAATTTCAAATCTGATAACCTTCAATAATGATACAAAACCCGTCTATAATGATATGGAAAGCTTATTTATGTTTTCTACACAGATATGCCACCATGGCTATAGTTATTGGTTCTTAAAAAAGTGTAAACCAGACTGTTGCTTTTTTTGTTAGAGGGAATATATATAGCTTTATTGAAGAATTTCTATGCTAAATCTGATTGTAGAATGCATCTAGATTACTAGTATCAGGTGCTGCACCTTTAAGGTAGGCACAATTTAAGGTAACATATAGTAAAAAAGATAGTAGTTAATATGTAATTTAACAAAAGTTGTTCTCAAACAACTCTTTAAATCAGATTTGTTGACGATCAGGAAGCTTCCCAATAATTTCGAATAATCGAAATTAATTGAAATAATCTTCATAACGACTTGCCGAAATTCATTGTGCAAATGCGGATTTTGAATTTTAGCCAATCAGAGTAACTCTATGAATAAAGATTGTCCGCTTTTTAATCAAATTGATTAAATGGGATCCATTTTTTTTAGCTAATCAGATCATTCCATTAACTATAGCGTAAGGTGCTTGAGAACAACCTACCTAAATATAATAAGTATAATAAAATAATTTTTGTATAGTAAAAACAAGGATTTTCAAGTTTTTCTTATCTTGTGTTAATTATTTGAAATGCAAACCACTTTACCGAAAAATCAACAATGCAAGGTTTATTTGCGTCTTGTTAACTAAACATTATTACCATTTATGAACAGCTCTGTAAATAACTTTGCATCTAAAATTTGAACTATGTTAAATGTTAGAATTTTTTAATTATTTAAAGTTCATTATAATGACTTCGTTCATAAAACAATTTTTTTCTATTTATTCATAAGACTCGTGTCAGAGACCAAACTCCAAAAATAATAAAGTTATAAAAGAATAAATTTAAGAAATTGGATTTTATATATTCTCTTATCGGTTATTGGTAAAATATCTGGTATTTATTAATTGAAAAAAAAATAAAATTTTTTTTAATGAATAAAAATTTAAAAATATCAATATCAATATCACAATACTGATAGTGTTTATATCAGCAAATGCGGATGTATTAAAATTATATAGTTTTAAGGATTTACTCAGAGTCATTTGGATTATCAATAATAGACCATCCAATCACGGGAGAAACAACCGATTCACCATTAGAATCTTCAAGAATTTCTTGATTAGCACCAATAAATCCAGCCATCAATTTTACTTTTAATGCATCCAAAAGAAAGGGAACACCAACAATGCCATCGGGAATATTTTGAATTCTTATTACACTATCAGTTTTTAAAGGTCTTCCTGCTCGATTATAAGGAAAGAAGTTCATTAACCATCCAGAGACAAAAGTACCACCACCAGAACCATGTGCTTCATCAATCTTTACAATTCTACCCCAAAAATCATGATCAACTTCACTACGATAAGTAGCAACTAAATTCCAAATAACAGGTTCAAGACGGTCTAACCAAAAATCTAATTCTAAATTTAATTTTCTTAAATGAATAACTTTTTCTTGAAGTTTCGTCCAATCTTCAAGGGTTCCTTCGAGAGTAACTTTTGGAATTCCACAACGAGTATAAACTTCATATTCAAAATAAGCTTTAACGGCATCTAATAATACAATACGACTTACTGTTAAGGAGGTTGTGGTAGTTGTCGAAAAATTACATTCTAATAAATCCATTAAATCAATTTTTTCGACACGACTATCAGTTGCAGTAACAAGTCTATTTACAACTTCAGGCCAATCGCCTTCATAATTATTAGATAGAATATCACCAGCATAAACAGCAATCTTTTCCTTTCCTTCATGTTGAACAAATCTATCACGAAATTTCTCAGGATTTTGATTAATATGATGACTAACACCTTGAGAAATTGTAAGCCAAACATCATCAGGACTTAAACGTAAATGCTTATGATAATTATAAGCATGAAGAATAGCGGCGGCAAATCCATTTGTACAATAAGGTCTTTCAATAACAGTTTTTTTAGAGTCATCGTATGTTGCAGATACTGCATATACTTTATGATTTTTAAAATTATGAGCAATTTGATCCTCAACCGAAATACAATATGAGGATCTAATTTATTGTCAAGTTTGATTTTTTTCGGTTAGAATTTGAGTGCTTCGAGCACTATTTGTTGGATTCATCTTTGAGTAAATAATATGAATGAACGGGGATGATTCTTATAAGTAAATAATAGTTGCACAAAAACCTACATTACGGAATTCAATTCCCAATGTAGTAATACTATACGTGGATCAAATAGCGCCATATCACGTGAAAATGTAAAAATAAAAACATAATTTTACAGTTTTAAAGCATCGACAAAATAACGCCGCGTCTACAGTATTAACATGAGGCTAATACGACAGCGTGAAGCCCTGATGTCATAAAGTGGATTCATCTTCAAAAAAAATGTACTGTATAAAAAGTAGATGCATTTATTTAATAAACAGGAGAACCTCATTTCCATGATAAAGAGTATAGTCATATGATTTTCTCACATTAAATTCACACCATCATTAAGTCGCCCTTATTAAATTACTATGTCCTAACTTGTTGGAGCTACACTGTGCATACATTATGCGTCGCTCTCCCATAGTACATACTGTATTGGTAGATTTATAATAATAAATGGGAATAGAAGACTTTTTACTTCGAAATAATAATGCATTATCTGTTGTTCTAGACTTTACATTAAAGCAATTCCTTATAACAAGATGATTACGTTAACATGCTTGTTTAGACTTAGACCGGTGGTACGCATTTCACCGACAATCACTTCACCGATAGCTTTGTTCAATTTTCTATTACAAAAATAGCTGTCAAAACGAAATAATTCATAATACAGTCCGAACCTCTAAATGCAATTTCTAATGCAAGCTGTTAAAAATCTGATCCCTAAGATTGCAGCTATTTGCATGTAAATATTTAAGCAAGTTAGGGAGATGGCTTATTTCAATTACATAATGTCCGATTTTGATATTTTTAGAGAAATATTTTTCAAATTTGATAACCTTCCAATATTGATGCAAACTCTGTCTATCACGCGTACCAGTTTTGGGAAGTTCACCTGTATTTTTTATATGGCTACACATATTGGTTTAAAAAAGATGTAACTAGTAAATCTAGCTATACGAAGAGTTTTTATATATTCAAGTACTCAATCTGCTTGGATTGCAGAATGCTTCTAGATCAGGTGCCGCATCTTTTCAAGTAGCATTTTGTAAAGCAAAAAAAAGACAGTATATAAGTTAATACGTAATATATAATTAAAGTATAATAAAAATAGTTTATATATAGTAAAAATAAGGATTTGCAAATTTTCTTGTGTTAAATATTTGAAGTGCAAGGCAAACCACTTTATAAAAAAATAAAGCTTTCCCAAATTATTTGCGTCTTGTTCAATAAACATTATAACCATTTATGAGCAGCTCAACAAATAACTTTGTATCTAAAGCTTGAACTATGTTAAATGTTAGAATTTCTTAATTATTTAACGTTCATTATAATGACTTCGTTCATAAAACATTTCTTTTCTAAGATTCTTCATGTGACAGAGATCAAAATTTAAAAATATAAAGAAATTATTAAAAGAATAATAAGAAATTTGGATTTTTATATATTCTCTTATCAATTATTGATAAAAATATCTGATATTTATTAGTTGAAAAAAATAAATAAAAAAATTTTAAAGAATAAAATTAAAAATATAAATATATATCACAATACTGATAGTGTTTATATCATCGCAAAGAGGAAGCATTTAAAATAAATAAAATTTAGAGTCATTTGGATTATCAATAATAGACCATCCAATCACAGGAGAAACAACCGATTCACCAATAAATCCAGCCATGAATATTAATTTTAATTCATCTAAAAGAAATGGAACACCAACAATGCCATCTGGAATAGTTTTAATTGATATTTTATGATCAGTTGTTAAAGGGCTTCCTACTCGATTATAAGGAAAGAAATTCATTAACCATCCAGTGATGTAAGTACCACCTCCAGAACCAAATACTCTATCAATCCTGACAATTCTACCCCAAAAATCATGATCAATCTCACCACGATAAGTAGCAACTAAATTCCAAATAACAGGTTCAAGGCGATCTAACCAAAAGTCTAATTCCAAATTTAATTTTCTTAAATGAATAACTTTTTCTTGAAGTTTAATCCAATCTTCAAGGGTTCCTTCGAGTGTAACTTTTGGAATTCCACACTTAGGTCGCTCTCAAGCGTCAATCTGTGATTAGCAAGTGATCGTAATAGTGCTCAAGCATAATTATATTTACAAAAAACTTTTGCCGAAAATTTGATATGC